AAACAGAAGCGGTGTTCTTGAGGGAAAATTTACTCTCCTGTTACTACTAGGGTAGAAGGGATGGAGGCTGAGCAAGACAAGACTCACAGAAGGATAAAAGAGTCAGCAGGATGAATATATGAATAAGTCAACTGGGGTGGATGCCAAATTTGTGTGTTAGGCTTGTTGACTCAGGGTAGATGTTAGATTCAACTTCACTCTTAGAAATTTGTCAGGTTGATCGATGGTGGAATACTTCTTCCATCGTTAATTGTGGGAAGGGTGAAGAGCACAAGGGGGTGAGGAGGAAGAGGACCACCGAGGGGTGGGGAGGAAGAGGACCACCGAGGGGTGGGGAGGAAGAGGACCACCGAGGGTGGGGAGGAAGAGGACCAAACCCAGGGTGGGGAGGAGAGGACCACCGAGGGGTGGGGAGGAGGAGGACCACCCAGGGTGGGAGGAAGAGGCCACCGAGGGTGGGGAGAAGAGGACCACCGAGGGGTGGGGAGGAAGAGGACCACCGAGGGGTGGGGAGGAAGAGGACCACCGAGGGGTGGGGAGGAAGAGGACCACCGAGGGGTGGGGAGGAAGAGGACCACCGAGGGGTGGGGAGGAAGAGGACCACCGAGGGGTGGGGAGGAAGAGGACCATCGAGGGGTGTTGACAGGAGCAACTGCAAACCTAAGAGCGTTGGCTATTTATAATATTAAATGTATATTACCAAACTAATTCACCAAAAGAAACAATATGACAATACTCCAAGTGTCTCACCCACCCATGACTGGTGTTATATGAGCGAGCAGTGTAAAGCAAGCAGCAGTGAGTACTAAAAAGTCTACACATGAACAGCGTCTACACTGTTCACTTCTGTACATACCAACAATGACAGGAACACAGGATAATACAACACAACTTACTTTCCTCGACGGTTCAAGCAGTCTTGAGGGATGAGGCAACTTCCAGAACACACCGGACCAGTTATTACAAAGATTAATCCACCTTCCATACTGACACATCATCACTGACACGGCTAAAAGTCTAAGAAGATACAGTATATCACTTGTCATACAATGTCTCGACGGATCATTGCTCACATAAACGCCATCTACGTTTAGTTCCACTAACAACGAAAGGAAGTTAATAGCCAGAAAGTACATTGTTCAGAGGTAAAGTCTCTTTTAAGACATGGCTCCTCACACACCCACTGCCCATTGTGGACGGATGACAACTGAAAAGTGAGAATTGGATAGCACTTACAAACAAGGAGAAGCGCTACAGTTAGCTTATTACGTGTACTACACGTAAAGACTAACACAAAGACTACTGTAATGTATAAGGAAGAGATTAAAGTAAACTATTGGTAAAATGTATATGCATTAGTAGTAACAGTACCAGTAGTTAAGATATTTACTTAGAAAGATTTGACTGTGTAGGCTACTCAGCGTTCTTATCATTGGTTAGAGTAAGGGTCAAAGTCCATGGACTGCACGTGGGTCATTAGGACATTAATCCGTATGACAGTGATTAGTCTCAATGTATAGTCACTGACATATAATATATATATATATATATATATATAAAAAAAAAAAAAACCTCTCAATGTATATACACAATACACAAATAACCCGCACATAGAAGAGAGGAGCTTGCGACGACGTTTCGGTCCGGCTTGGACCATTTACAAAGTCACATTGTGACTTTGTAAATGGTCCAAGCCGGACCGAAACGTCGTCGCAAGCTCCTCTCTTCTACGTGCGGGTTATTTGTGTATCGTTCCAGTCACGGTATTGTGCCTTTTTTTATTTATATACACTATGTTTACATATATATATTTTTTATATATTATATATATTATATTATTTTTATTATTATATATTATATACACACACACGCCTCGATAAATATACACAGAGTTACGCCTCTGTAAATAAATATACATCACAAGTAGGCATTCAGAGTGTGGATTTAATAATAAAAATATTTATTATTACATTCATGGGGAGTGGTAAACCCGTAGGAGTCAGAAAACGCCTGAGAAACTGGAGGTAATCTGGATCGATCGAAGAAAAAGAGAGCTCCAATTCCTTGAATCAAGAGCCCATCACTGGTATCATAACCTCATAGACTTGAAAGGTTGGGATACCAATCCTCCAAGTCTAAGCAGCGAGGGTAGCTGCTTCATTCCACTGAAGGGCTCTTGATCCGGGGAACTGGAGGCACCACCGTTTTTCTTGGATTAGTTTGGAGTGTCTGCCATTCCCAAGGCGGTGTGTGACCCCCTACGAATTTATCACATAATAATAATTATAATAATAAATAGTTCAGTTATTAACGAGCGTGTATTTATCTTGTTCACACTTACTGTATTTGCGTTAATTATGCCACATATTACCTTATTCCACAGAACAGTAAACACTTTTGGCAGCAGTGTTTACCTAGATCTATTCTAATTTTAATCTTTTAACAAAATAATAAGTGACTCTTTCTCATCTTCGAGGTTAAATGAAGTGAAACTTAACATTCACTGATCGTGTACCAACACAGACCTTCAGTAGTGTGTGTGTGTGTGTGTGTGTGTGTGTGTGTGTGTGTGTGTGTGTGTGTGTGTGTGTGTGTGTGTGTGAGCGCGCTCAGGCAAGAATCATCCTTTGAAATTTTCCCCAGTGACGACATAACCTGAGCTCTGAGCATAATGTCAGAGGTCGTCCTGGTCACGACCCACAAACCTGCTCATCCACACACTGGCTGCTGTCCTTGACGCACCATCCCGGAAGCATCTTTATCCACAGAAATCGGAGTTCTTCGTCAATTAGTCGAGATTGTTGTTATACTCGCTGGGTAACCCATTAGGGTCATAAAGCGCATGGGGTTAGGGGTGGGAATCATACGTGATCATATCAAGAGCCAATTCATCAGTATCAAGGCACCCCACCTACCTACCTTGAAGGATGTTGTCCGTGTTCTGTAGTTGTTTGCCTGTAGATCACCTCCATCTCTCGATGAAGTTGATTAATTAGGCTTAAAGCCTATCGACACACGAGGGTCATTGGTTGCATGTCACCTGCTCACAAATGTGCTCCTTTTGTGATTAAAGAAAACTAAGTATACACACGATATATATATCCCTCCTCGTGTACATGCGCTGCTGCTCCGAGTGCACACACATGAAGAGAAGTATACTCATCAGAATATATATACACTGCGCCAGTGTCAACATTGTATTTATTATAAATATTTTAATTGCATTAGTTATTTAAAATACTGCAAATATTCTGTGCAATGTTAGCATATATTCTCGTGTTTTAAATAAATAAATTATATATATATATATATAATAATATTATAATTAATATATATATTTATATATATATATAATATATATATATATATAATATATATATTTTTTTTAAAGTCATATAATGGTACAGTGAATAAGTTAACTTTTTTTTAGCTTTATGTAGATGCAAAGTACATTTACATGTAATTGTGGGAAGTATAGATTAGCCATACCTGCGTCTACACCTCTCCACCTCTAATCCGAATGTTCCAGCATATGTTCACCTCATGAATTCGACTGAATATGTCTGCTGAGCAAGCGAACATCTCGGCAATGAAAATATCCAGCTACTGCACACGTGTCTCGCTCGTCTTCGTGTCTATATTATTATTATTATTATAATCAAAAAGAAGCGCTAAGCCACAAGTTCGTGTCTATAGTCATTACACACAAACACTTCGACGGGCGTGAATTTGACCTGACTAGCTTGTGCTACTAGGTCAGATGCCATGCTTCTTCCTTAAGTGAACGTGACCTGACCTGACTAGGTTAAGGCATTGCCTTAAGCCGGTACGAGAATTGGATCTGCCTTGCATGGGTCAGTAGGCCTGCTGCAGTGTTCCTTCTTTGTGTTCTTATATATATTTAACTCGAAGCAAAGAGAGAATGTTTGTGTTGGGACAACCAGAGTCACTTAACCAATGAGAGGAAGAAGAAATGGAGTGTAAACAGAGGAATTATTACATTCACAGGGAGAGCTCAACCCTTTTGGGTCATACAGCACCTGAGAGGAAGACGGGCAATCAAATGCTATCCAAGAAACGGGAGGGAAGCTCAAATTTCTCGAATCATGAGTCCTTACATCAGCATCAAGGCACTTCGATGGAGATGAGAGAAAGAATAGATGATCCTTGACCTTAATGTGACGTGGGCACCAATGTAGCAGCGGAGAGCGCCAGAGGGCCACGTTGGTCACGCTGGCCGAGAGGTGTCAAGGTGGGCACGACACAAACGACACCCAGCAGCGTCAGAAAACTGTGCTGGGCACGACACAAGCGATACCTAGCAGCGTCACACAGTAGTTGCGAGAACAAAATGTGTTGACTATAAAGCGTGTCTGTACTTTGGACTGTCAAAGAATCTGCGGTTTGTTTTAACAATATAAAAAGCGTATAAGAAATCTGAAATTGTATTCAACTGAGAGAAGGGATTGTAATGTTCAACTTAGAATCTATTATTATTATTATTATTATTATTATTATAAATATATTTGAAGACCAGCCGTCCATTTTCCCTAAGAATGGGTCTTAGAAAAGAAATGAGGGTGACGGGTCTAAGGTATGGAGATCTGAGGTAAATCAAGTGGATCTGGAGCCCTTCACCAGCATCAGAGTACGTCTCTTGAAGGATATTATTATTATTATTATTATTATCAAAAAGATCTTGAAGGATAACTTCTCTGAATGACTGACTGATTAGCCATCACATACAACGAGTTGACGAAGCTTTCAGAAACCTGCTCCCTGTTCCATAAGTATTTCTTATGCTTTAATATCCTTACCTCGGAGATCTAGCTAACGCATGATAGTCTTCAATCCAGATGGAAGATAGTTCTTTTCAGCTGACAGCCTCGGTGTGGACCTCAAGTACTTTTACTAGTACATGAGAGAGTTCTTCATCTCGGATACTGAGAGTTCAGTCTCACGCTAATGAGACTGAACTGTGGGATAAGAAAACTGGCATG